ACAGCCCAGCGAAGGCATATGACCTTGGAGGCAGTCCGCTGCTGACAAAGGAACCATTGTGGCAGACGGCGTCAGGCACGATGCCTCAGGAGAGCCTGCAAGATTGCTAGCCTTTGGTCAGGCTACACTCCTAAAAGCTCCCACTGCGGATCGAAGAAGAACGTGTGGGCTAGATTGCCCCGTGGCTTGGCAGAGGCTGCTCGCAAACCACCACACATCCGCTCTGCGCATTTACGCGCTGCGTAAAGTAAAAGTAATGTCTTATGAAATCGCTAGGAACTATTGTTCCTCGTAAATGTCGCTCAAGATTTATGGGCATCGGAAATTGCCAAAAAAGACACAGTGCTCGGATTATTTTATGCGTTTTGTAACATACCTGACTGACAGCAGACTTAGTTACAGCCAATCCTCCGTCGCAAGCAAGCGAACGTGTGGTTTGGTCCTTGGTCCAGCAATAGTAGTGTTAGAAGTCCAGTCTGACTAACTGCTTGCAAGCTGTCCTGACAAGTCGCTTCTGTGGACGATAGCCAACAACGGTGCATTGTTCAATGCGAACGACCTTAAGAACGTGTGTATTCGCTGTGACGTTCCCAACCGATGACTTTAAACCGCTGGACGGATATTCACTCGCAAACGCCGGTGAGCACACGGGCGGACACACGCGCATGCCCAACTAGTCGCAATTTCTCAGGAGACACTTAAACGCGCAATCCTGCGGCCACGTAGCAAGGGGCCTCCATACGCGACATCCTTCGGATAATATCAAAACACCAATCATGCGACAGTTGAACTCGCTTCACAATTATCTATAAGCAACTGTCACATTTCACACAGGGACTTTTTGAGACTTGCAGACACCCTCAGGCGTGACTGGACGCAGTCCACGTCAGCCCGGGCTTCTCCCGCGGCCACTGCCACCCAAGACAGCAACTCGGAGTTCTGTACACATGAAAACTCCCCTTCGGGTTGGTTCCACTTTTATGGCCTTGTGTTCTTCCGTGGGGATTCAAACAGGGCGTAAATGGACAAGGACACTACAGTTTGTAACAATATATTGCCGGCAAAGACAGGGGACAATCCACGAAGGCCTTTTCTGCCTAATTAGGCGTCATCGGGTGGTGATACCTCAACTCCAGTGTGACAGGCGTAATTACCGCCACACTCGCGTCTCTCCGGCAAGGGGCGAACGCTCTAACCATTGAGCCACGAGTCCGCCGTCTTGTCGGTTGTGTGATCGATACTTTATAGTACTGGGTAACCGTACATCGATCTGTTTCAGGATGTACCCACCCTGGTTGAGGTCTTTTTGCGAGATCTTGGTACCCCAAGCATATGTTTTGCAAGGTGAAATAGTAGTGTTACTCGCTAAGTTTATGTAACAATGTATTACCGTCAAAAACAGGGGACAATCTTCTCCGTTGCTACACTGGAGTTGAAGTATCACCACCTGATGACGCCTAATTAGACAGAAAAGGCCTTCGTGGATTGTCCCTTGTTTTTGTCTTCAATAGATTGTTACATAAACTTAGCGAGTAACATTACTATTTCGCCTTGCAACACATATGCTTGGGGTACCAAGATCTCGCGAAAAGACCTCAACCAGGATGGGTACATCCTGAAACAGATCGGTGTACAGTTACCCACTACCACAGTTTGTCACCGCTACAAAATTGACGACGCAGGTGAGATTCCCGACTTTGTCACCGTTACAAGAAGCGGAATGGCCTTTTTGTATTTAAAAGCACTTTGAACAGACCTTATTCTCTGGCACACCTATTTTCTGTCCTGTTCGGATTATCTTTCAAGACTCTACTACCTGCATATAACCCGCCACTAAGCCCCAGTCTTCTTTCTCTGATTGTTCTAGGCGATTAACTTCAACCGTTATCCCCTGAAGGATCGAATTCGCATAATGGAGCAGATGCACGTGCTGTGCATAATCGTCGGCCGCTGGGTTCTGCCGCGGTACGGCATCAGCAGGGACCAACTCTCTCAAATGCTCCTTGTTAATATCGGCAACGCTGCTGACATCCTCGAACTGATGGAGTCCCTGGAAGACGATGACGTTCAAGCTCACCCCCCCATAATGATATTGATCCTTATTATTTGGCAGGTCAGTCTGCTGCAATTCGTTTTCAACAGAACAGCCACAATTGACCTCAACATCCCGAAGGACCCTCCTCCTCCGCCTCCTTCTCCATCCAAACCTGAGCGAAAACACAAGCACAAACACAAACACAAACATGAAGCAAAGGAAACTGATAAGAAGGGAAAGCATGGTAAGAAGGGAGCGACTCAACCCCCGGACGGGGAACAGGACACCAATCAAAATAATGCGGCGCAAGTAGAAAGTCAGACCCCCATCTGCAGCGGATGCTCCAGCCTGGTTCGCTGGTGGCGAAACTACTGTCTCAAAGAGGGCCGTTGTGGATACATCTTCTTTGGAACCGAGCTATGGGCCATCTGCCTGTCCCTCCTGCTCCAGGACGTGCCCTTTCTCTTTCTGAGGCTTGTGCTGATCTTCGAGTATACTGTTCAGAGCCACTCAAACGTATTCTTTCTTGCCAAGAATACGCTCCTTATTATGCTGCAGATCTACCGTTCAATGGTGATTCTGCAGGAGGATGGGGACACAAACGAACAGCCTGCCCAGCAATACCGTGCAGGCCCACTCTTGGCTTGAAATGGAACTCCGTGTTCCGCCCCGCTCCGCTCCGCCCTCCATTCATCTCACTGCAATAACGTTTGTGTCCTTTGCTACTGCCAGCTGACGACCAGCAGACCGATGCCACTGATTCCCCGTGAACATTTCGGGTCATGGCAGTATCCGCGAGGGAGAGAAGTTTGAAACTGCAAAGTTTGGTATGGCGCAATGAACAAATATGCGTTGTATCAAGGTCATTTCGCACACTTTGCATTTCATTTGATCTGGCCTTTTTTTCTTTCTCTAGACAGGGAGAGACAGGGGAGGGGGGCTTGACTTTCACTGGGCAAGTAGAACAAGTGCTTGGGGAACTGACTACAAGTTTTCACGCTGTCACAGGCTGAGGTCCTACCAACTAATCGCATAGTCCAGTAGCGTCAAGAAGCAAAACGGTCTGAGGCTGTATCCAGGAATTGTAGGTCTGTAGAAGTCTAAACATCAAAAGCATCAGTTGATTGAGGGAAAGATAAGCAAATACCTTTGCGCGCCCTATCGGTAACAAGGTGGCTGAAAAAATGCATGAATAGGGAAGCGAAATGGAGAAAATACTTCAATTACATGCTTGCAAGCGAAGATCGAAAGGCTGGTTGAGTATGAATAGTAATAAAACATGGCTACTGGTTTATCACGAGTAGTGTAATAAGTATGTGCGATGAGTATGCGTTATAACTGTATAATACTCTCCCTCGTGAGTCAGATTTACACTGGTGAATAAAGTATTTGGTGCATGTCCAGCTTTGTATTAAATTTAATCACACTGGTGGAGGGGACTACCTCTTCGGGAAGAGCATTCCATGCTGAAACCACTCTGTTCCTGAAGAAAAATTGATCTGAAGAAAATAAAAGGAAACTGATCTTTGATCCTTGAAAATTTATCTTTGTTTTAGCGGGACATAGTTTAAGGGGACGACCACGCAAAGGGGGCCTGTTAACTTGGATAAAAAAATCATTGGGGAAAAAAACAACTATCCAGGTCACTCACAATACGGCAGGAGAGTATGAGATACCCTCGTATTTGCCTATAGGAAAGGGGAGATACGTTCAGGGTTGTGATTAGAGTACTACATTCATCAAACCGAAGCCCGGGTTGTTCGAAAAGAGGCAGAAGGCACTAAAGAAGGCACCAGCATGAGGACTTCATTGTACACGCAGCTCTGAGTTACTGACTCAGGCAGCCGTGGCCATCGGCGAAGCCAGGGCTAGTGTTGACTGCGTCTAGTCACGCCTAAGATTTTGCGTGGATATGAGAGAAAGAGAGATGGCAGCTGTTCTTACTTGATTTTGAAGCAAGTTCAAGTGGTGTGGGATTGTTGTGTTACATCGTCCATGGGGAGTGTCGCGTACAGTGGCCCATGCTGCGTCGGTTAAGGCAACGGCGTGTTAGCGTGGCCCTTGGGCAGCGGCGACTATCTAGACGCGCGTGTTCACGTGAATGGAATTCGGTCGAGGCTTTTCAGCTCAGCGGGTCGGAAAACAGTTGCATGGGAAGTTGCATGACGTTAAGACAACGGGTATTAAACGAGGAAGCATTGTTGGCTACCCGAGCCGAAATCACAGGTTCCTTCTCCTGGCAGGCACAGCTAATCGAATTTGCCAGTGAAGGTCGGGCCCAGTGGCTTTCAGAAATTAGCAGCCAATCTACCCAGCTAACAATGTACCTGCACTATAAGCAAAATAAAATGCTCCGGTCGTCATAGCAGGAGAATATAAATGCTCCCCTCCCCATTCCTACGTAATGCAAGTGACACTGCCAACTTCTAGGGATGAGAGGTATTCCTGTGTACCGGTCTTAACCCTAATCGTAATGTGCCTGGAAATCAGCGGAAATTCATCAAGGTCAAGATTCAGATAAAGGGAAATGTGGAGACTTCTTTGAGGTCACTATACGTATGAACACTGCCAGCAAAGACAGGGAAGATCGGAATGGTCATTTTTCAATTCATTAGCCATCATTGGCTAGCCATCCCCAATACCAGATATTGCACCATCCGGGGCTCGAACTCGCAATCCGTTGGTCAGAAGTCCATTGATCGTACTACTGTACATGGTTTTTATCATGCCAATCACATGGAGTTAAGGTTAATAGAGTAAACCCTTGTCTCCACGATCTTCCGGGCTCGGTTCCTTAGGAGAAGAACAGGACGTGTGATGCCAGGATGGTGGAAACAGTGTATTCTGTACATAAGGATTGGAGAATAGTTAG